GCAGTTAGATTGTGGTTTCAAACAGTTATTGGACATGTACAACATACTTTGTACGTCTGTGGACAGAAGGCAAGCATTCTTACGTTAAGGTGTGAGTAGACTGGATCATCTCTTATTGGCACACCCAAAGAAAAGACTTCAGTTATGTCTTACATCACATAACAAGAGTCAGTATTGTATGTCAAGCATGTGGATGACAATAATGATGCTACTTATAGGTGACTGACTCGTCTTGGCTTCGCATGCAAAATACCAGCCTGTGAAAAGACACGTCATCGGCTGCACCCAGTTGTAAAGCAGCTTTGAATGGGATGTTTATTGTGTCTGATAATAGGCTGTTTGATAATATCATTAGGAGACCTTTTAGTCACTGTGTAAAGTTCAGAGAGCCTTTAATTTTACACCTCATAAAATGGAATAATTTGGTTTATTATAAAAAGTTCAAATAATGCTTAAAGTCAAATCAAACACAAAGTGTTTATCAGTGCAGGAGAGCAGATGCAAGATTTCTTTTTTCACTTTAGGAAAACCTTAAAAATGAGAATAAAGTAGGTGTAGTTTTTGTTTGTGTCAAATTCTGAAAACATTCGGACCTAAAAGTAAAAATTTGCACTTTGCTCCATTAATCATCGTATAAGTCATAGACTACAAACTGAAATTCACTTGGGCCACACGTGAAATGACAAAAAATATCACGGGCCAGACATTTACATTTGATTGATATGTTATATAATAGTTATTTATTTTTAAAGCTAAGCACTCCATTTACCAAAACAAAGTAATGGATTCTGATTTTAAACAACCTGTTTCACAAGCCTGAATATAACAACTCTGTGGAGTGGGCGTCTGTTTTGTGATAGCACGTCTAAGCCATAATTCCTAGACCTCCTCCTCACCAGTCACTTTCTTTAGCTCCTCCGGGAGTCCTGGGTCTGCCTGAGGGTCATGTCCTAGTTGGACATGCCTAAAACATATGACATGTCCAGGAGGTATCCTGGTCAGATGCCCAGATTACCTCAAAAAGCTCCCCTAGAGCAGGAAAAAAGAAGAAAGCTCATTTCTACCATTTGTATCTGCAGTCTCATTCTGATCATAAGTGAGAGTGGGAACGCAGATTGACCAGTTAATCAACTGCATTCCCTTCATGGTCAGGTTTCTCTTTAACACAACACACTGGTACAACCTTCGCATCAAAGCAGATGCTGCAATCTGGAGCGTTCACTATGGTCTTCTCATTCCTGCAGCTTCAACTTGATAACTCTGTGGTTGTGTGTTTGAAAAAAAAGAAAAGAATGAAAAGTCTGTAATCGTGTGGTTTCCATGTTACAGCCTGGAGGTATGAAAATGACTGCTCATAAAAAATCTAAAGATATCAAATGAACTTTCAAAGTTGTCGGTGAGTAAATATGGCCTCCCTAAGGGAGACATGAAGAAACGCAGCTTTACCACTTTGTTACTTTTCAAAACAAAAACAATTATTTGCTTTAGCTGCGTGCCACGTTCATTGAGATCTGGAGCCTGTTTTACCTGTTCATCGCTCTGCAGCTGTACTGGGGTAAACTGGAGCAGCGGTCTCCAACCTTTTTTGTGCCACGGACCGGTTTATGCCCGACAATATTTTCACAGACCGGCCTTTAAGGTGTCGCGGATAAATACAACAAAATAAAACTAGTACCGGTACCGAAAAAAAGAAGATTTATTCATAACACACGTGAAAAGGCCCAGGAACACCGAGTAAACGATAAAACGATAACAAAATAACGCTGAAAACCGATTAAAACCCTGAAAACCAGACATTTCACACCTGAACCTCAACTCTCGCGGCCCGGTACCAAACGACTCACGGACCGGTACCGGTCCGAGGCCCGGGGGTTGGGGACCGCTGAACTAGAGGGTGCAGAGATTTTTTTTTAAATTAATTTCGTTTTTTTCTCTCAAAATGTTCCAAAAATAATATCAGCAGCTGCTACAGTATTTTCTTCATGTGTATGAATTTGTTGTCCATCAGTGCAGTGAGATTTTGGCCACTTATAGCAGATCAGTCTTTATTTCCTGAATGTCAGGTCTCCTTTTCTCCCCGTGCTCAGCACTAAATCCTTGTTTTGTTTTTGCAGATTGCTCTCAATGTCTCCGGAAAAGGCGACAGCCTGGCTTCCTGGGACGGTGTCCTCGATTTACCAGAACAGAAGCTCATTCATAACCGGAGTCAGCAGCTGATCGGTGAGTAAATGTCGGTGCCTCTGAATACGTTGACGCAGTCCTGACTTTTGGATTTGCAGTGAGTTTCTCAAGCGTTTTCTGGCACATCCAACTTGAGAATAAATTTTTAGTTCAGTAAAAGTCAGTGCATTATGACTTGTGTCAGGAATTTTGCTCTATTTTGTTTTTTGGCTCCATATCTCAACATTTAAGATCCACTGGGTTTGGCTGGTGAGGTTAAGGGGCTAAAATTCAAGAAAAAAAATTATAGGCTGTTTGAGTTTAAAGTTGGATATTTGTGGGGAAAAACAAGCTCGGCTTAGATGAGATTTATTTTTAAAATTAGGGATAAAATTCACATATTTGAACTCTTTGGATTATTAACTCATAAAGCATGTTAGGTCTTTAAGTCAGAAAAGAAACTAAAAGCTCGTTTTCATTAAATAGAGTTGCTCTGGACTAATAGCACTGGTCTCTGTGTGCAGCTGGCTCTGAGACGACTGTCTACAAAAAACAAAGTATTTAGTAATAACATCGATCTGCTGTTTGCAGTTTATCTTATTGCAACTCTTGTCTGATATGATGCGCTGCTAATGGGCTGAATATGAGAGTTTGTGCCTGTGTGATGTTGGTGATCTACTGCTAAGACTTCTGAAGCCCTGATGATCCTCCAGAAATGTTATGTTTGGTTTAAAAATACTTTCTTTAAAGGTTTAAATCTTCTCCCTAATCTCAGTTTCCTATCATGTTCCTGTGAGTTTCCGACGCTGGTGTGGGAGGATACTAACGCTTCCTTGTTGAGGTAGCATTGTCCGCCCTCCATAATGCAAAAACGCCTCAGTGGAGCAGCACTCTTGCTGCTGAAGAGAGGCAGAGGAGTTTATTTACCACTTCCTACATTAGATAGAAAAAACGGGGAGTTATACCATCGGGGTAGCCTCGTGAATCATCTAGCCTGCTCTAACTTTGTACTTTTTTCCCTTCTTGTTCAGTAGAATAGCTCCCCTCCCCTCCAGTCTTTGTCACACCCTCCTCTAATTTGAAATTCAAACCAAAAGTCCCGTCATTTATTTAAAGGAGTACGGAGCTGTGAGCATGAACGGCTGTCACAAGTTTAGATAATATGCTGACGTGAAACTATGGGGAGAGATTCAATTGAATAGAAATCTGATAATAATGACATCATTTAATGCATCAATAGGAAAAAAAAACTGGACCTATTTGGAAAAGATAACTAAAACTGCCGACCCCCTCCGTGTGTCCCATGTTTAGACCAGCTGGCAGTGTCAGAGGAAGAGAGGAGTGAAATGGTGTCCGACGTTGAGTCAGTCATCACTTTCTACTGCAAGTCGCGTAACATCACTTTCACCCCTGAGCTCAGCTGGCCGCACCTGCTCAAACCGCTGCTGGGGCTTCATCTACCCCGGAGCGACCTCTACAACTGCTTCTATGCTATCATGAACAAATACATCCCTCGGTGAGTCATCTCAGCCTCCTTGTCCCCTTCACCCCACTCGCACAGACACGCAGGCTTTGACTGTAAAAGCTTTCCCGTTTCAGGGACTGTGTGCCCAAAGGCCGACCCTTCCACCTGTACAGACTACTGCTGCAGTATCACGAGCCAGAGCTGTGCTCGTTCTTGGACACCAAAAAGATCACACCAGACTCCTATGCCATCAACTGGGTATGTTGCCTCATGTTAAATAAGTTTTACAACATTTTTGCCCCATTTCAGAAAAAGATTCAGTCAAAAACAATTAACGGCATACAGCTTCAATTTTGGTGAAATAAAAGTTGGTACCAGCATTTTTTCCCCTGCAGAAGTGATATTCGTTCACATACATTTACTCCATATTTTTTCATCAGCTGTTCTCCACCTGTGCAGCTCTAGAGCTCAAGTAACACTGCTCTTCATGTGGCCATGGCAAACGATGCGTCTGTGTTTGTCTCTGTTCCACAGCTGGGTAGTCTGTTTTCAAGCCACTGCCTTCCTGAAGTTACCCAGACATTGTGGGACTCGTACCTCCAGCAGGCGGACCCTTTTCTCATCTTCTTTCTCATGCTTATCATCCTCGTCAATGCCAAGTATGCAGCCAGAAAGATAATCCAGCTCGTGGCTGTTTGTGCCAGCTCTGAAAGTTTGTTTTTGTTTGTATCCTCAGAGAGACCATTCTTACACAAGAGGGAGAAAGCAAAGAGGACATTATCAGTGAGTTTGTTCCTCTCTTCTCATTTGTACAGTTTTTCAACGTCTTTTTAATGTAATTAAATGTGGGGGAAAAAATTTTCATCCCAGAAAAGCTGGAAGCGTCTCCCTCTCTCCTGGAGTCTGAGGACATTGAAGACTTGTTTTCACTGGCCCAGTATTACCAGAGCAAAACCCCTCTGTCGCTCAGAAAGGTGAAGCAAATAAAAACTGAGCAGTGCTGAATATAAACAAAGAGACAACGGCAGCATCTAAAAAAACCTCATTGTTTGTTTCCCTTTGTCTGTTTCTGTAGATGAATCAGAATCTGTTTGGTAGCAGTTTGGTGGCTCTCAAAGAGGAGGACACTGACCTCAGTCAGGCGTTGTGCCTCCCTGTGTCTGTCCCTGAAATCCTGCAGGCAAACCAGCTGCAGCAGGTCAGTGACACTTTGAGTGGGAAATTATTAACAGTTCTCAAGTTTGCCCTGTGAGTTTAAGGAAGAAAGAGGATGTGAGGAAACTGGACCTTTTCTTCTTTTTTTTTTAGGATGGGGTACGTTTCTTCGTGGTGGATTGCCGGCCTGCAGAGCAGTACAATGCTGGCCATCTGTCCACAGCCTTCCACCTGGACTCAGACCTGGTGAGGGACAGGGGCTTTAGGGATTCTTTGAAAAATATATTTGCAGTAAACGAATATAAAACAAGCTTTATGTCTTCTTACAGATGCTCCAGAACCCATCTGAGTTTGCACTCTCTGTGAAGTCCCTCCTGGAGACACAGAAGCAGTCTTTAGAGTCTGGTTCCATCGCCAGCGGAGAGCACCTGTGCTTCATGGGCAGCGGGAGAGAAGAGGAAGACATGTACATGAACATGGTGTTGGCACATTTCCTGCAGGTGAGCTGTGAAAGTGGGATCCATATATAACAATTACAAACGTTTCCTTTAGATTTTTTCAAACTGTCAAAATCTCTGTTTGCTAATAAAATAAACGAAGCAGAAGCAGGAAAGTCATTATAATTCATGCTTAAAAAAAGTAGTAATCACTGGAAGTCTTAACTGGAAAAATGAGAATTGTGTGACCTTGTTTGGCAAAACAAATGATTTTGTGATCTTTGTTTTGCAATATTATGGATGATATTCTAGCAGATCGGCTAATTTCAAGCTTTCTGTTACAGAAAAACAAAGAGTATGTCAGCATCGCAAAAGGAGGTTTTATGGGTGAGCAGGAAAATGACAATACTGACAAACACATTAGTCTGCATACACACAGAGAAGTAATATGAACATGGAGAGGCCTATTTTTGCGTGTAAGTTATAGTTTTTGTAATGGTTACATCGGTGAGGTGATGCAGCAGTGGCTGTCAGTGATTTGTCAGGATCTTGTTTGGACAAATCCATCATCATTTTTTAGCATGAAATAAAGTTAAAAAACTATATTCATTTCTTGTACATATATGTATGTATATAGGGTAGATAGAGAGAGATGTTTCTGAGAAACTTGTACACATCCACATTTTTATATATCTGTCTTTTGGTCACAACTGCAGTACAGAAAATTGTGAAAGCTAAAATTCACAGAGACACGTGTACTTCCAGCTCTTCAGCAGCACCTGGTAGACATGAACGTCGAGGGGCTTGACTCCTCGTACGTCCACTGGATCGTCAGCACATCTGGATCTCACAGCAGCCTCAGCTCAGCTGATGTAAGAAGTTAGGGGAGCCAACCAACCCCCTTTATCATAAAGGACATAAACATCACAATATGCTCCACACTGGAGGTGTTAAGAGAGATCTTCTGTCTGATGCACGGATTGTTACATTTTTCCATGAATACAGGGAGAGTCTCTGAGCGGCCCTGGAGACAGCAAAGGGGTGAAGTCCCTGGTCAACAAGATGACATTTGCTCTCAAGTCCAAGTCGGTCAATGTTAAGGAGAAGATGATCAGCTTCATTGAGAATACCTCTGCCCCCGTCGACAGGTGAGAAACTAGTTCCTCGAAACATTCACCACTGAAGCTCACACTGCAACACACACTCTCAATTTTCTGTGTAAATCATACAGTTTGCTGCAATAACAGAATGCAAATTAATATTATAACACTGAAAAAAAATCAAGTTTGTGATTCTTCTCACATATCAAATACTAAAAACCAAAGTACCAGAGCGCCTTCTGAGAGCCAACTGATCCCTCTGCAGATGAAATTCTACCAGAACAGTTAAAATTGACCGTTTCTTGACATCCTGCTAGTTTGGGTTTAGTGCATATTTACACCTGACTGAAAACACCATATTTGCTTTTCCATATTTCCTGTCATGAAATTAAGTTCCTTGTGCCTTATCCCATAATAGAATATCTTTCAATCTACCCTGGCCAGAGAAGGTGATTCCAGATCGGTAAGAGCTCCCAAACATCCAGATGTTTATCACTGGCATGCCCACTGGCTGTAGACCCACACCACTCCCAGGATTTTGGAGACTTTTAACGCATGCTTAGTATCAGCATCTCCGCCTACACCTGCCTACACTCATGTAACAACACCACACGTTCCCATACAGTACGGGCAGCAGGCTGTCTATGAGATACTGTTTCTTACAATTTCTCTTCATGCTTTCACTAACAACATAAAACTGCTGTTTTGTCTGCACTGTCGGAGCTGCTCCAGCCTTTTAGGAAGCATTGAGTCATCTTTACATCCACAAGGTCGTCGTTTTCTAGTCTAACTCACCGAGGCCTTTGGCTTCACCTTTGTTTGCTTGGAGATGCACTGAAAAGTCTGTCTTTCCATTTCATTATAGTTCTTTCAGATGATAGTCAGGGCCATGCAAAACCATAAAATAAACTATAATTTGCTTTAAATAGCCCTGAATATCATACAACCACTAATCTGTAACCCAGATGTCGAGCTAGAAATGTCTCGTTTAACCTCTTCCTTTTTGTATTTAACAGCACAACCTGTGGCAGTAGTGGGCTAATATTTTTTTTACTGCAGGCTGGAGGTCTTCATGCCATTGATGTTTGTGTGCAAACTGTTTAATGCACTTAATGTATAATTATCTAGTGTGGCTATAATGCTCTGACCTGCCTTGTTGCCCTCTGTAATCAGGCATGTGAGCAGCAGCGACCGCGTCGGCAAACCTTACCGGGGAGTGAAGCCTGTGTTCAGTATTGCTGATGAAGAAGAGTACGATACAGGTAAAATTACAGCAAACGCAGATTACAATTAGAAGAGGGTATTATTTTGTGAAATATTTAAGCATTGTGAGGGCTTTTATTTTGAAGAACAAAATGATTACTTCCATCTGATCTTCCTGCCAGATGAGATAGACAGTTCCTCCATATCTGATGATGACCGGAAGGAGATTGTCAACATTCAGACCTGGATAAACAAACCTGATGTAAAACATCATATTCCGTGTAACGAGGTGAAAGAAACGGGTCACATGTTCCCCAGGTAAGCTGTCAGTTTTGTTTAGGAAACGTTTTAAATGAGTACAGTGACCTTGAGGCATATTGCATGGCAGCCATAATAAGGGCAGGTTGAAGTCTTTAAATACTAAGGTAAGGTGCTTCACTGCTTCCTGAACATAGTTCCTGATTTTCAGAGGCTCCAAATTAATTGAACAAGCTAACATACGTTTAAATACAAGGATTGTTTTTAATAGTTGGATAAAGTCTGGAACCCATGAACATCAATAAATCCTGTGTTTCCTCTGCCACGCCTACCGCGTCTGCCTTCACTTGCTGCTTGTTTATGGGTCTTTCTGCTTTCAGTTTTATCTTCAGTAACTGAAAAGAGATCACGTGACTGACTTGGCCATTTCTTTTCCTTCAGAAACTCTTGGGTTGGCTTTGCAGGAAGCTTTGGATCATTATCCATCTGCGCTATAAAATACCATCCCACATGTCTTGCAGCATTTGACTAAATTTGACAGCATTAATCGATAGGGCTGTTCGATATAACGATATATATCTGATGACGATATAAAAACGTCTATCGTTTCATTTTACGCTATCGTTTGTTTCGTGGTGTGGCAAAATAAACTGTTTACGGCGATATTTGTCATGGTTCTGATGATCACTGTAGTGGCTATATTCATTTCTTAAAGTTCTCTCTTTCTCTTATATGTAATATAACCACACTGCTGACGGACAAGCGCCTGTTTTTATGCGTTGTCCTTAGCGTGTCCGCTTGTTTATGTTCCACGTAAACCTTTCACAATAAAGCTCAAGATCCCGTTGAGACTTTTCAAAATAAACTGAATCACGTGAAAGAGCAGATTATTTACGGATGAGAAGTAAAAAAGAGCCGCCAGGTGCTAAAAAATAAACCTTAGACTCCAACGTTAGAACAGGCTGTTCCCCGCAGCACGCCGTGTAATAAATACTCACAAAGAAAACGGCGCCGTTACAACTTGTGTCTAAAAATGTATCGTTTCATGCATCGGTTAAAACACTCGACTCCAGCTACATGACGCGCAGCTGGAAACACACAAGTCGAGCTGCCCGAGATTCACAGACTTTACAGAAAATGTTACATTTTTGTGATTTATATCGTTATCGGACTCTAGATGTCTGATATCGGGATATGAGATTTTGGTCGTATTGCACAGCCCTATTAATCCACTGAATATTAAGAAACTCATTGCAAGTGTCCTGGGAACTCTCAGGATTTTCAAAGTAAAGTGTATGTCTTTGCAAGAAGAGGAGAAAATGTGAATGACTAACATTTCTTGATAATTTAATTTTCTTCACTGAAATGGTGATGCTTCCCATTGAGGTGAAAGTATGTTTTTGGCTTCTTGAGCACAGTTTTTGACATCCTTCCCTGGGTGTCAAAATTCAAATTTTATTTGTCACATACAGTCATACACAGTACGATATGCAGTGAAATGCTTACACAACTGCTCGTGACCTAAAGAAAAATGAAAAGGCTATGAATAAGATAGGAAATAAATATGAAAATTAAAAAGGGTAAATTTAACTAGGAAGGAATAAAATAAGATAACTGTACAACAAAATACACAGTATAGAAATATATAAGAATGTATGAAGAAATATAAAAAATAAAATAAAATAAAAAACACCCAGCACGCCCCTGCGGGCGGTTCATCCTTCAAGCTCGGGTCCTCTACCAGAGGCCTGGGAGCTTGAGGGTCCTGCGCAGTATCTTAGCTGTTCCCAGGACTGCGCTCTTCTGGACAGAGATCTCCGATGTTGTTCCCGGGATCTGCTGGAGCCACTCGCCTAGCTTGGGAGTCACCGCACCTAGTGCTCCGATTACCACGGGGACCACCGTTACCTTCACCCTCCACATCCTCTCGAGCTCTTCTCTGAGCCCTTGGTCTTGTGCAGTGCAAATATGCTTTAAGTGATGAAGTGAAAACAATGTCCAGAAAGTCCAGTGTGTGTAAGAACTATATGTGTGGGTCAGTACTGTGTGGTGGTGTGATTGAGAGACCGTATCACCTGCAGGAAGAAGCTCCTCCTCAGTCTCTCTGTGTTGGTCTTCAGGGAGCGGAATCGCTTTCCTGACCTCAGCAGAGAGAACAGTCTGTTGTTGGGATGGCTGAGGTCCTTCACCATCTTCCTGGCCTTGGTCCAAGGGTGGACGAGTTTGGCTTCGATGTGCAATGAGAAACGAATAAACAAGCAAGCGCTGCGGCCACTTATTAAACATTAACTCCTAACACTGATTCTTCTTTTGTGTTTCCAGTCACTTGTTGATCACAGCCACTCACATGTACTGCCTGAGGGAGATCGCCACAAGGAAGGGCTTTGCTTACATCCAGTCCAGACAAGCGCTGAACTCAGTGGTGAAGATCACATCCAAAAAGAAGCACCCAGAGCTGATCACGTTCAAGTTTGGAACCAACAATTCAGCTGGAGTGGAGATTTCAGCGGTTGAGAGGTGCTTGTCTGCACGCAGATGAAAAACTAATCAGACATGAATTTTAAAGTAGTGGCTTTACGATTTATTAACATTTTCCCTTTCAGCTAATGTCTGTTTCTCTGTCTCAGATATTTGATTCCCAATGCGGGCGATGCCACGAAGGTCATCAAGCAGCAGATCATGAAAGTCCTGGATGCCCTGGAGAGCTCATAAATGGTGGTGGTGGTGAGCTCGTTTTGGGAGATTAATACAAACTGTAGGAAGAGGCTCCGCCGGTGAAACCTACTCTCCCTCCTGGACAGATCCCAGTGCAGTGTTGACTGTGAAGCCCCGTGTGTCTGTCTTTGGGACATGTGGGCACACTGCTGACTGCAGACCTGCGAGCCAGGCTGCGAGTGTTGAAATATTTAGGTGCTCCGCTGTCATCCAACCATTATATTATACTTATTTAAAAAGAAATATTGGTTGTAGTGTATGTTCTTCTCTACTGTTAGTATAAAATGGGATCTCATTACAGAGGAGCTCCACTCTGATGAGTTCCCGCTGGCCTTAACGTAGCGTACTGACCGACCAGTGGCGAACTTCTTTCATCCACACGTGACTGACCTTTTCTTCTCCACCTGAGCGTTTTGATGATGACCCATTCTTTTGATGTGAGCAGTATTGAGTTTCTCGTAACATGTTGCGTAGATTTAACGATCATCTGGTCAGCATGAGTCAGCCAGCTCGGACATAACGATGCACACCCCCACCCCCAGAAAAGCAGTACTGGCACATGAAGCAGATTTCCTACAGCAGTAACTGTTTTTGATAACTTTACTTTTCCAGCAGGCAGCCTTAAATATAAACTATTTGGCGGTTAGTTTATAAATATGTAATGTGTATATATATATTGTGTAAACTGCTCTGTATACAGACCTTTGCAATGTCATTTTGAAAGCATATCCTGAGAGAATATGCAGTGAAACTTGTAAACTTTGCCAGGTTTGAAGTTCCCCTTCTTTCTGATTTTCTGGTTTTATGAAAATTGATTAACCTCATCTCATAGCAATCTGATGTAGCTCCCAGAAAGCCTCTCTGGACTACATTATGAGCACCTCAGTATTTTCTCGTCCCAGTCAGATTCACCATGTGAATGACATCCCCCGCTCCCCCGATGAGTAAATTATATCCAGAAGGCTGAAACATTATGGAGAAGGAAAAGATCACACTAACGAGCTGCAGAGGTTTGAAAGGAATGGACCTGATATGCTCATTTGCAGCTCTATTTTTATTTTTGGATTCAACTAGAGTAGCTTTGCATGACTGGCAGTGCAGAATAATCCTTATTTATGTTGTCCTCCAGCTTCAGTTCATCTGTTGTCTAAAGTTCCTCCTCTTTTAAGGCAACTTGTATTCTGATTGGCCCCCGAACAGCACTGATGTGATCTCTTTGACATCATACAAGTCAAAGTGTGTAACCCCGAGCCCTGAGAGCAGTCGGAAGTCTGAGCTTGGGCTTATGGGGATTACGTGGACATAGCTGATGTGATTATTTGAAAGTGTGGCCATGTTTCATATGTTTAGTATTCGTGTATGACAGGAAATAAGTAAAAGCATATGAAGTCCACTTTAAAGACGGTTTTCACGGTGCACAAAAAGCTGATCTCATTTCTGACCCACATAAACAACTTTTCTGTCCACACAGAATAGAAGAGCAGCACAGGTGGTTCTCAAACTGTGGTGCACAGATCCACAGGTGATTATGACCGGGGGGAAACATGGGGTTAATCCACCGTGGATGAGTATGATTTTGAAAGTACAAAAGTAGACAAGAGTTTGGTGTGGTTGTGGTGACATTTATTTCACTAAAATTCAGATTAGATTTTTTTTTAATTGCTATTGATCGTTTCATGTTTGAGTGGCAGGCGTGCTACAAAAAGTTTGAGAACCGCTGATGTGAAGTTATCACGACTACACTGATAAATGGGCCGCTGTTGACTTCTGATGGATGTTTCCCACTTACAGGCCCCAGTGTTCATCTGTGCTGTCACAGGATTTTTCGTGCTGACTTAATTTCCAAAGTGATGAAAAGCTTTAAAAAAATAGAAATTATTTTTACAGGGTGAAGATTTCTGTTTCCCTGGGAAAAAGGCAACATAAGAGGAAAAAGAAAAACGTCATCTATCAGCCAAATTTCTTTGTAACATCAGTATCCAATTTCATAATCGGTGCACCCATATTTATATATGAATATATATCTCTGTCTGTCTCATGTGTTAGCTAAAACCATATACTGTGTTAAGCAGTCTGCAGTCCATACTGAGCAGTTTCAGTTTGCCTGCCACTGTTGCCTTCGGCCTCATGCCTGTGACGTGCGATATGGGCACCAGCAGTGGCGTGAAGATCCTCTAAAATCGCGGTTCTGTTCGTAGCGCGGTGGCGTTTAAGGTTCGGCTGAACGGTTTTATTTTGCATGCTTTAACAGCTCCACATGGGTGTCACACTAATGTGCGATTGGTCTGTTTCAGAATTGCCACGCCCCCCTCGATCGCCGTATCTTATTCTTTAGTCATGAAATCTGCTTGGACTCATTCTTGCTTTCTTCCTGCTTATTTATTTGCTTTGAAGTCTAGTTGTGTGTTCAGCCTCCCACAGAGACCTCCAGTGTGACAGTTGCAGTTTAAACTTCAGCCCAGAGGACATTGGCCCCTTTCTCAGACTGAAAAGCACATTTAAACTATGAGCAAAGTAGAATTCAAGACAAAATCTGTTCCAGACCCTCCCTCCAGTCTGAAGCATTCCTGTGTAATCCATGCGTTGTTGTGCTTTTCTGATATTTTCCCATTGACTGGAACATCCTCGACTGGGAGTCTTTACATTCTCTGTAACATCACTGGATCAGGCTGTCAACCACTAGTCCAGAATGCAACATGTCTCAAATGTAATTTGCACCTTACTGTACTGCTGTTATTTTCTAAGCATTTCTGTTTTTAATAAATGGAGATTATTTGACTGCACGTTTGGACACACTCATTGTGAAACAGATAAGATAAGATAAGATAACCTTTATTAGTCCCACACGTGGGAAATTTGTTTTGTCACAGCATTTGACATGCAGTTGTGACCAAAGGTTTTTGGACATTAACTTTAAATTTTTCTGTACAGCAAAGTGGATTGTAAACAAGATGTGATTGAAGTGACACTCTCAGCCTTAATTCAAGGCTTTAACAAAAGTATTGCAAAATAAAATGTTAAACTACAGCCTTAAGATGAACAGTATCAAGTAGAAAGTACGTTATTTGCATTGAAAATATTGTCCAATAGAAGTAGAAGGTAATGTAATGTGAAATTACTTAAAGTACAAGTACAATGAAACATTAAAAGTTTGTAAGCATATATACTAAATTACCTTTCTCCGTGAGTCAGAATCAGAATACTTTATTGATCCCTGGGGGAAATTATTTTTTGTTACAGTGCTCCATTTTAAACCAACATTAAGACAAGACAGACAATACACTAACTAAGAATAGTACAATATATACATATATATATATATACATACATACATAAGTCACTCATAAATAAATAGTTGGAGAGAGAGAAATAGTTGGCAGAGTCCTGCCTGTGCTGACTTTGTAAGACGTTGGTAAGTCAGTAAGACAGCAGGGGTGGGTGGTATGACCCCATGCCACCCCTCTGGACACGCCCCTGTTCTAACAACCTGGAGGAAAATTTCTCATCCTAATTTTTTTTGCTGTTTAAATCTTTGACTAAAAATTATTCAAAGCCTGAACAAAATTAATTGTGGTTTTAATCATGGCCCACACTAATTTTTTTCTTCATTTACTTTAGTATTATTCTGCAAAATATATTTTTCTTAGTTTATCATATTAGTCAAATAAGCAAAAAACAAGAAGCAAGCAAAAAGCAACTTGTTTGTTTTATGTCCAGGGAAAAAACATTTAAAAATCGTAATCCTTTATATACTTCAAACAGGGTCACAGTCCTCCTTTTGAATATTTTTGTTTTTCCTTTCCTATATATAGCTTAGCTATTCTCTCTGCAGTGGAAGGTTTGGCACTACTTGTGTGCCCTGAGTAATCCCCCTATTTTTTAATCGCTGAGGTTCATTAATGCTAGTTCATCTTATTATTTATTTTTTTTACTTGGAAATACACGTTATATTTACTGAGCAGAGCCACTGAGATCCTTACATCATTTTTATTGTTTATTAACCAGAAACGTGAATAACAATGCCAATCTTGTGCTGAATCGACCCACCCCCTGTGACGTTACACCGCCTTAAATCTTCACGTTTAACGACCTCAGTTTTTCATAAGCTTAAATTTATATCGTCAAGTCACCTAAAAATAACACTTACTAATATTGTTTTAGTACTCTTTATTTATTTATTTTTATGTTAAATCAAGGTCTTTTATTTTGAAAACCAATCCGCCACCCGGAATCACATGACCGGACTGTGGCGCGGTGTAGTGAGCAGATAGTCCTGAGTACATGTCTACTTTAGCCAAAGTCATGTCCAGTAAGTACAGAGGTCTCCGTGTTTCGCAGTTTAATGTTAAATCGCCGAGCGCGGGTTTGAAGCCTGCGGCTCTCCGTCACTCGCTGAAGTTCCGTGTTTGTTTCCTCAGAGTTCCGTCTGGCGGTGGTTCAGCTGCAGGTGAGCAGCGTCAAAGCAGACAACCTGAGCAGAGCCCGGAGGCTGGTGAGGGAGGCTGCAGGACAGGGCAGCAAAGTGGTGCTGCTACCGGTGAGGAGGAGGAGGAGGAGGAGGAAGGGCGCCTCACGGCTGCTTGTCAGCAGTCTGAAGTGCTTATTTTAAAATACAACCAAATAAACAAGCCAGTGTCCGAGGACAAATACAGCTGCAGATTTTATTTAAAAGACGTGTCCCCTGAGAGGACGGCGCTTTACCATTAACGCGGTGTCGTCTTTGTGTTTTTATGAACTGTTTGTTCTCTTTCCTGGACATCCGTTAGTGCAGGAATGAAATATTTCTAAAAAGTTCCCAGCACAGGACCCTCAGATGAGCTGCCTTTTTGGACTGCTCAGATTTACCCTATGAGCTTATGATCTCCCTGTCGTTAACACAGGAATGCTTCAATTCTCCATATGGGACCAGCTTCTTCTCCAGATATGCCGAGAACATCCCAGGAGAATCCACCCAGGTGCTGTCGGAGGCAGCAAAGGAGAACGAGGTGTATCTGGTGGGAGGTGTGAAAGCAGCCGTGGATTTAAAGTTCCCTTCTAATGTTACTGTGAAGGAGCTGATGATGCTTCATGTAGTTCAGCTACAGTAAGAGTTGTGTGTATCACGCTGTGGTGTTAGATCCTCAGAGTTAAAAGCTCACCAGTAGTAGAGTTAATATATAACTCCACTGTTTCCTGCTGTGGGTTGTCAAGACGATGTGGAAAATGTAATCTGTTTCTGGGTAAACTGTAGGAAAAATAGTGAGAACTTTGCATGTTTAACTCCTGGAAAACAGCTGCTCTGCTGCTTGCACTCTACCGTGTTTTATCCTCTAAGTGTTCCATCAGAAACCTTTTTAACAGATCCATCACACTGACAAGCTCAAGGTTTCGTTTCACGAGGTCGGTGTATGTGCAAGTAATCCTATGAGATAAAATCTCAGGTTTAAGACTTTTTTTTTAACTCTTGGATGAGTACGATGTCACAAAGACTGATATCTGCTGTTCAAACCTTCTGTTTCCAAGAGGTGGCCAATCAGAAGAAAGGAGAGGGGAGGCGCTGGTCTCAGGCAGAGGATGGCCTGATGGGCTTCACCACGGACAGTATAAAAATAGACATGGCGATCTGACCTGTTGAAGTCCTGTTTTTTTTAAGCATTGAGTTGAAAGTTTTCTCCGTCGGCATGTTGGGTGCAAGTACAGCAGGTGACGAGGTTTTACAGAATTCTCCCAAAGATTTATTTCTTTGGTTGTCGTGTCTCTTTCACGTGTCTCTGTCAGAGGATAAACACATGGAGATACTAATGATCGTAACAGGGCCACCTGCCACCCAAGCGTGGTCATCGTTTAAGAAGATTGGGATAACTTTAAATCCAAGTTCAGTTCAAACGACTTTTCGTTATGTCGATGTTTCCAGTTGTCCAGGTCATTGGGGTCTTAACTGAACCTTCTTTATGTTTGTGATGACATCCGTCTCTCGTCCAAGAGCCTTTTCATTTGAAACCTCTGGAGTTTTTAAGCTCTTACGACTCGTCATCATCCACAGGATCCATTCCCGAGGAGGATGGTGGGAAGTTGTACAACACCTGTACAGTGTTTGGCCCTGATGGAGAGATGATTCTTAAACACAGGAAGGTATGTGTGGGTCATATACAGTGTGTGGTCAGTTGCAGAGATGAATCCTCTTCATCTTTTTTCTTTCCTCCTCTAAGATTCACTTGTTTGACATCGACGTTCCCGGAAAAATCCGCTTCCAGGAATCTGAGACGCTGAGCCCGGGGAGCAGTTTCTCGCTGTTTGACACACGTGAGCGACAGCCGCAGACTCTGGCTTTCTGCCTCGCAGTCTGGATGAGCATACATTGATCTGATGTGTTCCTCCTGCAGCGTTCTGCAAAGTGGGTGTTGGGATCTGCTATGACATGAGGTTCGCGGAGCTCGCCCAGCTCTACAGCAGGAAGGGTAAGCGTCTGAAAGGAGTGTTTAGATTTTGTTTTCCTGTGATGTACCAGAGCTGATTGGACTGCGCTTTTGTCCTCAGGCTGTCAGCTGCTGGTTTACCCCGGAGCCTTCAACATGACCACAGGCCCCGCCCACTGGGAGCTCCTGCAGAGGGGGAGGTCAGACTGAGGGTCATAGTCAGTCACTCCCATAAGAATAATTTACTGCAGACATGTTAGAGTCATCTTTCAGCCACATATCTGATCTGAGGGTTGAGCTTTCGTTAACCAGACATGTTACTTATAAGGCACAAGATCGCCTGAATGAACACAAGCTGAATAATAAACGCAGCATGACGAGAGCTCAGGGACGACAAACTGAGCTCTGCTGCTGTTTAAATCTGCAACGAATCATTTTAATGTCTCTTTATGCAGGGCGCTTGATAATCAGGTGTATGTGGCCACAGCATCACCTGCCAGAGATGAAGCTGCCTCCTACGTGGCCTGGGGTCACAGCACCGTCGTGAACCCGTGGTAAGAAAATAAGATCAAAAAGGCAGGGCGTGATAAGGCGGTTAAAGTTTTCAGAGGGACAACTTGAGGCCGTAAAAGTAGAAGAATTCAGGGTTTTAACAATGTAGAGCAGTTGGGGTGGAGTACAGATGTACAATCAGTTTCTCACTGCCGTCTCTGGGTAAGCTGAGGAACTCCAGTAGGAACAGTAGACAAACTTGAAAAGCAGCTTTTTTTCAGACACAAATTCATTGTAACCTTGTATTTCATGAGCTTTAAAAACTTTGTCACAAGGTTTCAATCCAGTGAAGCCTTCCTACGCTGAGCCGTTTATTGTTCGGATGCCATGCACACCATGTAAAGTGTAACTCGGGTAACAGGAGGCAGGTTAAATAGCCCACGGTGGTTTTTTGATTTGGATCTTGGCTGCCACACAAACAGCTTGAGGGAATATTTCACGTTGGCAGGCGCGACCAAAGAGCTTTAAAGTTCATCTGGGAATTTTGGCTTCTCCAGGTGTTTAGTTTCTTTCTGATGACTCCACCCCGTCGTGTTACCTGAACCTTCCTGCAGCGCCGCTGCTGTCATGTGTGGGTTTTGTTTGTCTGTCTGAGGAACAGACGTGTTTCTTTAAGCGGAGGTTGTGTGCTGGGAGCAGTTTGTTATCTTAACCTGTTCTACGGGCATCAGCTGCTGACGTCGAGTGAGTGTCACCAAGAGGTCTGAAGAGTCACTCATCAACTCTGAAAGTGTCGTCAGCTGAAAAGTGTCCAGCGACACGTCCCTGCCTGCCTGTGAAGAATCGACGGCTTACGTCATGACCGTACAAAACAGATGAAACTGAAAGCTTAACACTGCGTTAGCATTTAAAGTTTTAATGTGTTTCCTGCAGGGAATCTATATGAATGTAAAATAAAAAACAACAACTAGCTCTTATAACATAGAATAAATGATTCAATACTTTTTTGTAAAAATGAAATAAGAAAATATCAACTGTGAGGAAGTTTAAAGGAGCGTTTCTTGTGCTGATTTGTGAATAATTCTGTTGTTACAGGGGGGAAGTCATTTCCAAGGCTGGACCAGAGGAAGCTGTTATTTATGCCGACATCGGTGAGGAAAAGCAGAAGTCTGCTTGTCTCTGTGGAATGTGAAAGTCATTTACAGTTATGTAATCTTTGATCAGCTGGTGAGGAAAGTGGAAAAATGAATTTCTGCTCTGAGAAGAAGTTTTAGTTCACTGCTTTAATGATTTCCTCTACAGAATAATACTAAAAAATGAAGACCTGACAATGTAAAACAGAGAAAGCATTTCAGCCTGGCACAGCAGCAGTTACTGCACAGTGCTCGTGTTTACTCTGCCGTTGCTGTGATTGTGTCTTCTCTCTAAATGTGTCGCGTGTTTTCAGACCTGCAGTATTTGGCCGACATCCGGCAGCAGATCCCGATCACATCTCAGCGTCGGGACGACCTCTACGCGGTGACGTCAGTGCAGGAAGGCTCGAGCTGAACTCTGAACCTCGGGTCCAGCTCTTCAAATCGAGCAAAAAGGATCCTGTAAAGTCTCATCCATGTGATTCTTGGTAAAGTGGATTGAAGAGAGAAGCAGGCCTGCAGCAGCTCGCTGTCTCGCTGTCCAGCAGAGGAAAACATGAGAATCAGCTGGACAGTCGCTGATTGGCTGTTTTAAGATAACTTGAATGAAGAAACGTTGCATTAAAAGCTGTGACTTTTGTATCCAGTGCAGATCTAGTTAAAAGCTTTTTGATGAGCAGTGACTCATTTATCATTTCTGGTTACAGATGAATGGGAAGACTGGCCGCTTGTTTGTTTTCAGAGCTTTCTTTGTTTCTGAATCAGTGCTCAAGAATAAAAAACAAACCTGAAATCCAATGCAGCTTTCTTCTACTGTAAAAGAAATATGAATTCACCTCTCGTACGCCTTATAGATCTATGAAGTAAAAGAGGGCTTGGTGTCATTTTGGAAGTCTTTATTAAATAGGTTCAAAAAAACTAAAACTAAACAAAACAACCACCAAGAATTGTTCTTGTACAGTATTTTAAAAACTGTATATTTAAATGGTAATTACAACAAACATATTTACACATCAGTGCTCTGTGGCTTCAGTTTTTAAGTGACCGTCAGGCTCAAACATCCGTCTCCCTTTGTTCCTGGTTCATCAACTCATCTTCCAACCTGAATTGATACCGTCTTTTGTATCCTGATGGTGACAAATAAACAAGTTACAAAAGCACAACAACAACCTGATAGCTCTGTTATACTTTCTCTTGTTATGTGCCATATAAATACTTTTAAAAGTGGTGGATGCTAATATTAAACAGGTTTTATGCAGTGAGGTCAGCTTGCGTACACGTGATTGCTGAGGGAAAAGCTCAGGCTTCAGACTGCTCCAGGGTCTCCAAATCATCAGCTTAACAATGAGCTCTTTCAAATTGCATTTTACTCCAGTACAGTACAGACACTTCATTGGCTCCCACCACAGTATAAACTTCCCTTTAAAATTCATTTTAATAGTTCATAAAACTCAATGGTTTGGCCCCAGTACAGCAAGATGCCCTTAGATCAAAACTCAAAAGTGTTTGTGTTCACACAGGCTGACATTCAGCAGCTCATCACTCATCCATTTTCTTTCTGTTATCCAATTCAGAGTCACGGAGGGCTGGAGCCAATCCCAGCTGACATAGGGTGAAAGGCAGGGAACACACAGACGTCACGGTCAGTTTAGAATCACCAGTTAACCTGATCCCATTAACTGCATGTCTTTGGACTGTGGGGGGAAGCCAGAGTACTCTGAGAGAACCCACACATGAACTCCACAAAGAAAGGCCCCAGGTGGGATTTTAACCCACGACCTTCTTGCTATGAGGTGCTAATCACCGCATTACTGTGCCGCCCTCAACACTGTAGTTTTTCTGTAAAGTTTTATTTTGAAGTTTTCACTGCCTTAAGGTATTTTAAACCTTCACAGGTTTTTATGTGTTTATCATTAAGCACATTGAGTTTATGTATAAATAAATAAACTGCTCTAAACACTTGATGTCAGGTGTGATTTTCTACATCCAGCTCTGTGACGTCTTACAGAAGACGTTCCGAATGCTGTGATCTCAGGCACACGTCTTACAGCTCTATTAAAGGAGGCACAGATTTGCTTTGCAGCATGACAGCATGCTCAAACATTCATCCAGACTCATATAAAAATAGAAGCTAAGAGCCTCTTATCAGGGCATTTTTCCCAGTAGCTAAAACAGAATTTCCATAATTTCTTCATAAAGTCCACCAATAAAAAAGCTCCACAGGTTCCAGTCTAAAGGCAAAGGCTGCAAATATTTGATTTAACTATTTGCACTATTTTCTATTAAATTCACTGATAAACAAACACATTGATCTGCTTACCTCTCCATTGTTGTTTGTGCTCTTCCTTCTTCCTCTTGTTTATTTTGTCCAGGTGGATCTGATACGCCACTCCAGCTATCACCATGATCCCAACCACCACACACAGACCTGTGCTGAACATCCACATGGCCGACGATGCTCGATTCCTCACAGGCCTGGCCTCCACTCCATCTGAGCAATCATCAGGAAAAAACAATAGTAAAAATGTTTTCAGTGTGCCATAGAGCCAAGGCCAATAAATAAAGTGTAAATAAATAAATAACATCTGACTCCAAAAAAAACCTGCAATAAAAAAACACTAAAGAAGATTTAAAATCCAAAGAGTCCAAATCCATAAACTGTATTTAAAAGATGTACATCGCCAAGGTGACTTTTAACATTTTTGACTGATTGATTAACTGATTGATCCAAAAGTGATAAGATTTAAAAAACAAAACACAAACCTGTCTGTCTTTACATGTTAAACTAGAGCTTTCAAAAATTCAAAGATGATAAAAACTGGACTGGTTTGCTAATGTTAATTAATATCAAACCAGTCAGACACGTGACATTACCCAGTACAGGGAACCAGCTGATAGCAGAATTTGCTTAACTATGAGTTTCACAGATAAGGAGAATCGTGCTGCTGTGTCTGAACACTAATGACTGCACTTACAGGTTGACATCACGGTTTGGTTCATCGACTGGTTATCAATGATGCACGACACAATGGAGTCGTGGGAAATGTTGAGGGTCAAGTGGCTGGTGATGTTGTAGAGATTGTCTGGGAGTGATGTCATCTGAGTCCTCACCGACCCTGCGGGCGGCTCCTCGCTGTCGTTGATGAGCCAGTACACTGCAGGTGTGGGATAACCTCCAGTGGAGTGACACAGGAAGACCTTCTCATCGCCCTGCACTGCCTCTTCCTTCTCCAGCTTTGGGGTGCTGAAACTGGCTGCAAACATATGTGTTGATTCTATATTTAGTAATATTTAGAATCTCTTTTCCTCCAGTAATTACATGAAAGAAGCTGAGGAATTAGAGAAAGCATTAAGACATTACTCATCATGGAAACAATGCCTCCAACACTCCCACAATATGATTGTGAATGTTTTCATGCAGCAGTTTATTGTTTTTTCTATTCTTCTAACTAGTCAGATACATATGGTACCTACAAATCATTACAGACACGTGTGGCATGTTATAAATGTGCAGGAGTTTTGCTGAAACACATCTGAACTGTTACAATTCAGGTGTTTATATGATAAGATCATCTACCAGTGATGTAAACAGGTGCAAACAAGCAACAAACGTGACCTTATATTAGACGTAATTCAGAAACTCTGACTCCCATCTGGACTCAGGCAAAGAGGGAAGAAGAATAAATAATGTCTGTAACTGTGTTGGTGCAAAGTTAAAAGAAAACACTCACTGCACTAT